CTACATATATATAAATAAAATATATATATACATATATATATACACATATATATACATATATATATATATATAATTTATAAGTATTTATTTACATTACACATGAAATCATATAACACATATATATTTTGTTATCCATTTATTTTGAATTTTGAATACAGACTATTCAAAATTACTGGTTTCATGAAGTAGTTGAACACACGTGAAGTGGTGAACTGCGCTTCAGCGTACGTGTTTGTACCTAGAAATAGCTAGTCGTCTATTTTAGCATCTGACCTAAGTCTGTCTTTGCAATAATGTAACAAAAATGGAAATAAAACAAACAAGAAATCATAAACCTTGTGTCATTTTCGCCTTCAGAGTACCATGGCAATAAATATGTGGAAACGTTTCATTCCACAATTATACTCCACTTATGCAACTAAAGAAATAGGCCTAGCAAGTTGAGTGATTTTCTCGGGCTTATGAATATAACATAAGCATGAAAAGGCTTTTAAAATGTACCACATGCAATTATCAATGTATTGATAATTTGATATGGAAAATATAAATATGGAAATACATATTTCCTTTACAATATTATTATAACATGATAAGAACATTTATGGTAAATGGAAACGTAACAGACAAGAAAAAAAAACGTATGCGAAACTAATCTATTGACTATACTTATTCCATAGATTTTTATTTGATTCAAGCATTAATAAAAGTTATATCAATATATATAGCAAGAACCAAAAAAACGTATCTCAAACTCGGACAACTTCGTAACATCTGCGTGTTTCTGTAAAAAAAGAAAAATAGCACCAAGTTATACAGTAATATAGTAACAATAACAAACTTTAATACTAATAAAAATAATTGTTAATAAACTAATGTTACAGTAATTTAAATGACAAATTGGCTGGTTTTTCCAGATACAATGTAAATTAAAAAAATAATATAATAATAATAATAATAATAATAATAATAATAATAATAATAATAATAATATATAACATCATATATTTTAGTATTTATTTTATTTGCTGTATTTGTTATGTAGTAGAAAGCGTAAGATTCATAAAACGAAAATAAAAACAAAATAACAAAATTAATACTAATAAAAATAATTGTTAATAAACTAATGTTACAGTAATTTAAATGACAAATTGGCTATTTTTTCCAGATACAATGTAAATAAAGAACAATAATAATAATAGTAATAATAATAATATTAATAATAATAATAATATATATAACATCATATCATATTTTAATATTTATTTTATTTGCTGTATTTGTTATGCAGTAGAAAGCGTAGGATTCATAACAAAACGAAAATAAAAACCGTCGGATAATATTAATTGATAGTTTAGTAATAATAGTATTAATTTTATTTGCTTTTAAGTAGCCTGTTGTTACTTATTATAAATACAACAAAACATAAATAAAAAAGTATGATAACCGATTGACGAACTTGCAATGATAATTAGGCCTAGTTATATTAAATTTAGCGTTTCGAAACTCCATTGGCGCTCCGTATATTTGTTGAAAACAAACCGCGACTGAAATGAAGCGCGACCGAAACGAAGCGCGACCGAAACGACTGTACACCCTTGACTGATTCGTCGCCAACACATAATACTATCTTCCTTGTAATTTGGTTAAACTTTCCCGAAAGTTTCATTCAGGTCAGTTGATCTGTTTTCAAAATAGGTCTAGGACCTTTCCTTTCAATGGCTCTCAGATCTACACCCTACACCGGATCGTCACAAAAAATGAATAATTTCTTTTCGACATTGACAAACTGTTATACAAGGTTCAAATTATACCCATTATTTTTTAAAGATATATTTAGGTCTGGGTCCTCAAAAATTGAAATGACCCTCCTATTTACACACTTGACTGATTCGTCACCAGCACTTAATAATTTCTTCCTTGTAACTTGGTTAAACTTTTTCGAATGCATCATTCCGATCAATTGGTCCGTTTTCGAAACATGTAGTCTGGGACGTTTTCCTTTAACTGGTCCTCAGATCCACAACGTACTGCGGATCGTCAAAAAATGTTTTACAAAGTATTATAGAATGTTTCATTTAGACCAATTGGTTTTTTAAAGAGATATTTAGGTCTGGGTCCTCAAAAATTGAAAAGACCCTCAAATTTACACCCTTCACTGGATCGTCACTAACACACACAAAAAAAAAAACTTCTTCCTTGTAAACTTCTTCCTGTAATTTTCATTCAGATCATCTGAACGGTTTTTGAAATATCCAGTGTTGATTGTTTGACCTTAAATCACTTTAATTGGTTTTCACACGCTTTAATTGGTTTTCACACGCACACCCCAACATAGATTGACACTAAATATTAGGATGCACATCCTTGATATATGGCCTATGCTTCGGCAAAGCACGGAAAAATTCCAAGCATGGGAAGTGACCAAAGTGACGGCCAGAAAAATAAAACAGTGCAAAAAGATAGGGAAAATATATACTAGATGAAAGAAGGAAAAAATCAGAACAATAACAACAACTTTATTATCATTATTATTATTATAATTTAATAATAATAATATATTTTTATAATTACTATTGCACTTATATTATGTTAACCATGTGTCATTATGTCATTATGTCCTGTTTTTTTTTTAAATTAACATTTTCGCATTCTCTTTTTATACAAATATCTTGCATTGTGGGATTGAAGAACAAGAAACAAGAAATTGTTCCAAAAATAGGTGTTCCTAAAATGTTTTAAACAACAATGGCAAAAAGTCTTTAATTTATATTTCATTACCTACCAATAAGCTACAGAAAAATTTATAGCAAAACAGTAATTAATTGGGTTTTTTTTCTTTTTTATAGGGCCCAGTAACACATACAATAAAATACATCAAATGACGAAAAAAGAATGTGACGTTGACCTCTGTCAACACATGATTGAGCCCTCCATCGTTTCATAATATGAAATCAGCTGAAATGTAATTAAAACAACGACAGCTGTATTATATTTATAGGCATTATTATTTTATCATGCAATGTTAATTGACTTTGACCATTAGGCACACTCAGAATTGTTCTAATCCACTTAATAAGCGTGTCCTCTTAATGTTGTTGGCCGTAGTGTTTAAAGATATATTTCCCCTCGTTCCATGATGATTAAAACGCGTCCCCTTAGTAGGGGAATATGTAGCGTATTTAGTTTCATTTTTATGCATATGTTAGGTAATTGGCGGCCTGTTTGAAATTATGTGTTTAGACTCCAATTTCATTTGTAACTTATTTAGGGCCAATTTTATTCGCATTTTAAATAAATTTGGCGACCATTTGTATACAAGATGAAAAATCAAGTGTCAACAGGGTTTAGGGTGGCCAGGAAAGATTAATTAGGATATCTACCTATGCTGACTGCCTCTAACATTCCACTCCCCTAACTTGATTTCTATGCCTCTTTTTATTTTACCCTAGTCTATATGTTTTTACACTTGTTTTGTGAGACTTCAGCAACAATATTGAAGGGGCAGGACTTAGTGGAAATGACTATTATCCTTGTAAAATGTATGCACTCTGTATTATTATTATTTTACGCAGACGTCTTAAGCCAATTCAGACAGCGTCGTACGACGCATCTTGACGAGATTTGTTGTCGCGTCGGGTCTGTGTGAGTAAAACGCAGACGCGATGGTTGCGTCGGGGGCAGTCGCGTCGTTGAATATTAGACATGTTTAATATTTCTCACGACGACTCAAGACTGTACCCGACGATGAATCGCATTGGGCTGCGTCGTACGACGCTGTCTGAGTTGGCTTTTTACGAACTTGGCCACAGAAACGATGATGAGAATTTTAATCCAATTGGTAGTGACTGATTTACACCATGTTTTTCTGTGCGTGTAATGTATTCGAAGTTGTATAGCGCCCTCTATTATTGTAGGAGCAGAGAACGTTCGAGTTTGTTGTGGTGGTTGTGAATATGGTGGATAATAAAGACAACCCGTTTGGATTACTTAGATGTGGTTTTGTTGTTCATTAGTCTCAGTGAGTGAACGAGAGACATAACATTGGTGACGAGGTTAAACCTTGATATATATAGATAAACGCCGGTTTATAGAACAGAGGAAATATGACTGTTTCTACGACGTTTAGTGAAGATTTGCCAGGGTCAGATTTAGATGCGGAGCCAACCACACTGACTACGCAGTGGCGTGAGTTTAAAACGGCGATAGGCTATTTAATAGCAGCCAAGGGCATTGCCAATAACGTACAAAAATAGGCGGTACTATTGCATGCCGGTGGAGTAAGACCCCAAAAGATATACGGTATTTATCTTTGCCTGACGACGAGGAAGTTGAGGGCCAGGAGCAATTAAACGCATACGATAAAGCTAATAGGAAGCTTGATAAATACTTTACCCTCAAAACTAACGAACCATATGAACGTCACAAGTTTAGGAAAAAGGTGCAAGAGACTGGCGAAACCGTAGCCTCTTTTGTCACCAAGCTAAATAGGCTGGCTACCTATTGTAATGTTAGTGTAGATACCAGCACCCATGTGAGGGATCAGTTGATTCAGGGATGTACTGCTGCATGGCTTAAAAAGTTATTACTGGAAAAAGGGATAGATAGCTTCGTTTGTAATGCTGAATACAATTTTCTAGTTTTTTTATACCTGTTTCATCACATCTGCCTCGGAAACCAAGAAGAGCATAATCAAAGTACAGATTAAATAAACGTGGCCCTTCATTTCCACCTTGTCTAACTCCTGCTGTTGTTTTGAACTTGTATTTTTTGGATCTTCGTTTGCAGTGTTTGCATAGATACAGTTGTACAGGCTTTTCAGTATATCTAGGCTTGTGGTATCCTGGTTGATTGAAAATCTATTTCTCGGTAATTTGAATAAGAAATCTCTATTGATATGATCAAAGGCTGCACTAAGATCGACATAGCAGGTGAATAGCTTTCTTCAAGATTGTAATGCAATCTCTTGAAGCTGTTTCATTTATATACCATCATTACACCCACTGTCTCTTCTAAATCCGAATTGCGTTGGTAGGAGCTGTGTTTCATAGACGTTTTAGAATTATTGACATTGCTACCTTGGTAAAATGAGGACCTATTGATGTTTCTATACGAAGTTGTATCAAGTGCACTCCCCTTTCTCTTCCAGATTGGAGTGATCCTATTCATACACCATTGTGTAGGAGTCACTTTCTCTTTCCAGATGTGTTGAAAGTATTTTCATAGATGTATTCTGGCAATTTAAGTGATAGCTTCAAAAGTTCAACTTCAATATCTAGTGAGGCTTTCCCATTTTCCATTGTGTTAACTACATCTTCTAATTTTTCATATGTTGGTGGAGTGTTCAATAAAACAATGCTTTCATCCTGAAGACAAGTAATATACTCCGGTGGATTCTTAATTTCCTTAGGTAACAGAAGATGAGACTGGTTAGGATTGAAGTGTGCTGATATCCCTGGACATTGTATTTGTTTTGCTTTTTCCTCTAGTATTTTGTTATGGTCTTTGGGTTTTTTTCACATTTTAACAGCTTGCCTGTGTTGCTTGCTTCATTGATTTATTTTGCATTTTCCTTGTAGAATACGTTTCTGCTAAGATTACCATCCATTGCCATCTAAACTCTTTTGTTAAATCCATGAATATCACCGTTTTCAAACCTTTATCAATCCCATTTATTATATAATTGACAAAATCAAGCACAGCCATATATGATTGGTTTGAAAACCATATTGTTATTGGCTATTTTAACAAAATCGGGAACGATTCCCGTATAGAATGACAATTAAAGAACAAAGATACAGGAACTCTTTTAATAAAATCAGAATCAATACCAAATTGTGATCAGGACTTTTCTTTCTCCAAAAATTATTAATTATTTTTAAAACTTTGTCTTCAATTGTAGGTCAAAACATGCTATTACTGTTTTGCAAATACGAAGAAAAGCCATTACCAATATGATTAATTGAAGAAGCCAGAGATGGCCTAAAAATACAAACATATTATTGGCGGTAAAAACTGATCAACAATAACATGTAGCTATACCAAATACCCGGAGACGAATATGCAAATGTTTACGCCAACCTCTTTGAACATTCTTTCAACCTGTAGGTATTACGAAAGCGCCGGAGGCTAAAAGACACCCAAAGGTGTAAGTTAGCTAGCAAGCAAACAATATATCCAATACAAGGTGTTAAGCGATCTTGGTAATAACAAAACGCTGTACCATTGCAACAGGACAGTAAAATGATATTAAACGATTTAAATGCCACTGAATACAAGCAGTAGAAATAAATGAATTATGAACAGTCCAGTAATATTTTTTTTGCCTATGTAGATCGGATCTAAATACCAATTGTAAAATTATATGCACAGAAATTACTGTACTACTCTGTGGAAACATAATTATATTGTACAGTATCATTAAATTCAATTAATAATTACTGGCCTCGTGGACACCTTACCTGGGAAAAAGAAAAAATGGGAAGACCAGGGAAAAGATGGAAAGACGAAATAGACCAATATTGGAAAATCTGTAATTGGTCAATCATTGCACAAGACCGGAAACTTTGGAAAAGTCATACTGAGGCCTTCATCCAGCAGTGAATTGACAATTCAATTCAATTCAATTAACATTTATTCAATTAATTAATAAATACATCAAGTGATAAATAAAGTGGACAACATTAAAATTAATTAATTAGGATCAAAAATAGAAGCAAAGCTTGTCTCAATTTGACCCCGACAAAATAAAAAGTAAAAAACTAATAATAAACGCATATCAGGTAGACCTACATTTTATATACAAATATATATATATATATATATATATATATATATATATATACATACACACATATATATACACACACACATACATACATACACACACTAACATACACACACATACACCCCATACATTCATGTAAATACACACACACGAACACACACACACATACATAAATGCACACACACAAATCAACATATACACACTTATGCATACATATACATATACATACAATATAAATCATCAAAGGTACATATGCAGTGTTTAGATAAGGACATGATGGAACACCGTAGGCTACCCTGTAGCTATTTAACAAATGTACATGTATATATGTTTGAATATCATACATATATACATATACATACACATACATATATAAAATAAAATAAAATATTTAAATAAAGTTAAGATTGGTACATTTCTAAATAATATTTCTTAATCTGCTTTCTAAAAGTGTGGGTACTATGGCAATTTTTAAACTTAACATGAGTATCATTCCATAATTTCGGTCCGTATACTGAAATAAAAAATTGGCTTTTGGTTAGTCTTACAAAAGGAACGTAAAGTGAGTTTGAATTTTTTAAGCAATAACTATGTATAGGTTTATAATCATGAAATAAAGCTAATATAGAGGTTGTGAGTTGGCCTTTTATGTATTGAAACATAAAACACGCAACTTGTAGTTTGTTTAGATCCATAATTTTTAATATATTTAGTTTTTTAAATAGAGATTCCGAAGGCGATGCAAATGAAGCTAAATCAATTATTCTGACAACACGTTTTTGTAGCTTAAGTAATCTATCCAGGTTCGAAGAATAGTCACAGGCCCATATTAAGTTACAATACTGCAAATAAGGGAGAATGAGAGTGTTGTATAAAGTAATTAAAGTGTTGCGTGGGAAGAATAACTTGAGCCTGTTTATTATGCTTATTGATTTTGATATTTTGCTTGCAACGTAATTTTGGTGTAATTTCCAACTTAGAGTTTCTTCAATGAATACTCCCAGAAACGAAGTATTTGATTTACGTTCTATAGGATTTTCATTTAAAATAATGCTAAAGTTTGAAAAATTAACTTTTTTATGGTGTGAATGAAATAAAATACGCCGACACGCCGACTAAAAGCGTGGAAGCGACAGAGAGATGTCGGTACGATCTTTCGGAAGCCAGCTACAGAAACCTGCTTCGGTTAAAATAGAGGGTTTCAAGCCGGTCGCGTGCAGACGAGCGTCCGTCGACGTCCGAGGATTGAGGAGATTCCGGTGCCGCTGAAGAGCTTTTCGACGCTTTGGAACGGTACGACGACGAAGAAGAAATTGCCTTCGTCACGCCACCGACGACTTCGGCTGAGTTGGAAGTCGCAACGTTACCCGCGGAGCGTGCACCGCAGCAACGGGAGCAACAGTATGCGGAATCCGTGTTGGATTCCGAAGCCCTCGGCGACCTTCCCGTGATCACTGAACCTGAGGAAACGACGGGAACTGGAAGGAGAGTGGGCGACCGCGAAGGCCCTCCATCCAATCTCCCGTACGACTTCAATTCGCAGGACTATCGCGACATGGAAGAAACAATCGAAAGAGAAGCTGCCAACGAGGACGACGACGCCGGCGACGACGGAGCAGCGACGCCGACGGGAGATCTTCCACCTTACGCGGACGAGGAAAGTTCGCTATTGACGCCAAACGTGAAGTGGGTGGACGCGAACTGGAAGCAGTACACTTCTGGATTCCTTCAGGAAAACGAAAACGACGATCTGGAGTGGGATCCTTCTCAAGACGTTCGACGAATCCCAGACGAACCGAAGACGCACGCGAGACCCACGTCGTCTTCGACGCCGGCGACTCCCAAATCTGTCGCGCTTGAAGATCTCGATGCGCACCGTCGAGAATCGGCGAAGGAGAACGAACGTACGTTGGAACTGGGCAACCAGAAGCTGAACGAGGTGCAGGACAAACTTGCGGAAAAGGAACGAAAACTCACCGAAGCCAGAGTCGTCATACAGAAATTAAAAGACGAAATACACGAGGCGAAGATGTCCGCTTTGAGAGAATCGTCCGACGTTCGCAGCATCGCGGAGGAAGAGGTTGAACGTCTGAAGACAGAACTCGCTTCAAAGACGGATGCCCTGAAGGAAAGGGATCTAGACGTGGTTCGCTTGGAATCGGATCTGAAAGCCGCGAGGAGAAAGTCGAAGCAGCCGCCACAGGAAGAGAGCGGCAGCGAGCTGCAACAAAAGCTGCAGGAAGCCGTCCGCAAACTGAAAGACCGAGAGAGATCGCACGCCGACATGGAAGAGGAGTTGGAAGAGAAAGACGACAAAATCAGCGTGCTGAAGAAAGAGTCGACGCTCGCCAAGACAGCGATGTCCATGTACGAAAAGCGGGTGGACGTCTTGGAAGAAAACCTGAAAACGGCTTGCAAGCGATACGACGAGGAAGTGAAAAGCAGACGGATTGTGGAGGCGGCCGCAAAAAAGGCAGACGAGCACGCGCAATCCATGGCCGACAAGAACGTCGAATTGCAGCGAGAACTGTTAAGACGGCAACCCGAAGAGTCGTTGTACGAAATGGAAGTGAACCTCAGAGAGAAGGAGAAGTTGCGGCGAGCGCAATCCGATCTGGAGGAGGAACGGAAGACGGTTATGCGATTGAAGAGTGCGATCGAGGACCTGAAAAAGGACCAAACGCGTCATTCGGAGGTTCTTCGAGAGAACAGAAACCTTAAGGAGGAGGTGGAAGCAAACGCCAGGAGGATCGAAAGTATCGACGACGAACTTCGTGCGTCGAAACGGACACTCGGCGACAGAGACAAAGATCGAGCAACGTCCAACCTGAAGAAGGAAATCGCCACTCTCAGAGACGAACTTCGTGCCGAAAAGGACAAGGTGGCGACAGCCGTGAAGGAACGCAGCGACGACGACGCCCGAAGTTCGGTGACGCTCGAGAAGATAAAGGACGAATTGCGACTGGCGAACCGGGAAGCGGCGGCTGCAAAGGACCTCCAACGACGGTCGGCGACGAAGCTGGAAGAGACCGAGAAGCAGGTGGAGAGTCTGAAGGAACGGTTGGATGAAAAAGGTCGCTCGACTGCAAACGCGAACAAGGAGATCGCCTCCCTCAGAAACGAACTTCGTGCCGAAAGGGAAAAGGTGGCAACGGCTTCCAAGGAACGCAGCGACGGCGACGCCCGACGTTCGGCGATTCTCGAAAAGATCAAAGAGGATCTGCGATTGGCGACTCGCGAAGTGGAGACTGCCAAAGACAGGGAATGAAGGTCGGCGAAGAAGTTGGAAGAGAGCGAGAGGGAGGTCGAGAGTAGATGTGTATAAGAGACAGGGCGACGACGGAGCAGCGACGCCGACGGGAGATCTTCCACCTTACGCGGACGAGGAAAGTGGAAGATCTCCCGTCGGCGTCACTGCCCCGCCGTCGTCGCCGGCGTCGTCGTCCTCGTTGGCAGCTTCTCTTTCGATTATTTCTTCCATGTCGCGATAGTCCTGCGAATTGAAGTCGTACGGGAGATTGGATGGAGGGCCTTCG